TTGGGGTCCGATCCGCAGCGAGACGAGGACCGCAGAGCAGGACTGTCGTGTAGAAACCCCTGCGTCATGCCGTCGGGAGGGCGCTCCCCACGACCTTGTGTGTGAGTAACAAGTTCTTAGGGTGATCGGTTAAGAAATACACCCCCCCCCGCCTCCCCCAGGTCAGATAGAGCTTAACCTATTCTGTAAGTAAACTGTTATTGTATGAGATAGAGGCTTGTCTTCAAAGGAGCTTTGGCACACTTTTTTTTTTTTGCCTTTTCGTTCCTCTTTTGGCACTTAGTCATTTTTTCTCTGCAGGATCATGTGGGGTGAAACTTAGACTGAAGTCACCGTTTGTCAGAAACACCATTTTTTCTTGGACGTGAATCGGTGGCTTCACAGTGCTTTACACGCGGAGTCAGCATTCAGTAACTATCCCCCGAGTGGATACTGGTACGGCCTTCAGTGAAGGAAAGAAAAGGCTCTTACCTCCTTAATACTCTGTGGCCGGGACCCTTTCTTGCTCTCTTAAATAAACGTGTGTTATGAGCCCCGTTACTTCCAGCTAGTTTAAAAGTAAAACGTAAGTCAAGAAGGAAAACTGGTACATGGATTTCTATCCTTTGGTAGCATCAGGGCCCCCTTGCCTTCCTCCCTCCCCATCTTCCCGAGCAGTAATAGGTGAAATCGAGTGTCAGAATTCAGGGGTTATGAAAGCAGTTTATAGTCACCAAATGTTAAGTTCTGAGACTGGTTTCTCCCACTGGAGTTAGAGTTTCTGCCTTCAACTCTGTCATGACACCAGCGATTGTCAACCGTGGTGCCACAAGCATGTTTAGAACATGAATACCTGGCTATTCAGTCAGGGGCACTGACCTCTCTCCCTTGGATTGTCAAATAAAAACGTGACAGCAGCCAACACAACCATGCCGTCAGGGGAGACTGCCCTGTCATGGACCATAAATATAGGTCATATAATCGAGTTACATCTTATTGGTCAGGTTGGATAAGGTTACATCTGATTGGTTCGTTCTTGGTACCAAAAATCCTTAGGCACCTGATTTTTTTAAAACTCACTTTGGCACAAAAGGGGTAGGTAATTACTATTATTTATTATTATTTTTTTGTAAATCAAAATTACACTTACATTTTTGTCAGATTGGCAAGTGTATATATATATATATATTTTGGTGTGCCACAGAATTTTAGTAATTAGTTTACATGTGCCATGAGATGAAAAAGGTTGAAAATCGCTGCATTACACAACTGTCTGCTTTTCCAGCCTTCATACTCAGAAAAGCATTTATTTGTGTTGGTAGCATTGACCACTCCTTTCTTAAAGACCCCCCCCCCCCCCCCCCCCCCCCAGTGCACAAACTTTTGTGCACCGGGCCTCTACTGGGTAAATAAATAAGTAAATAAATGTGACTTGATGCCCATGCTGTTATCCCGGGTAATGAAATGCCTCCTAATGTGCATGGCTACAAAGTTTCTAGCCCTAGTGTCATGATTCAGGTTTGACCTGCTAGTGACACGTTATCCGGGTCTAAGCCACAGCCTCCACCCCAATCCTTATATTTCCTGCTCTTGGCAGGACTGAGCAGGTCTTGAAACACAGGGCCTCCTAGGAGTTACTGTAGTATATTTTGAGAAGCACTGCCCCTAGCTGGATGATCCCCGTGACCTTGAGCAGTTTAATTAACTTTCCCACATTCCCATTTCCTCATTGTAAAGTGGAAATGTTAGTGCGGAATTAGTACTAGTTTTCCTTTGCCTCCTGTAAAGACTGCAAGTTAATTTTTTAAAATACATGAAGGAGATGAATTGCTTCAAGGACTATGGTGAATTTTTAAAACAGGAGAATTTTTAAAATTATATATATATAATTTTAGAGAGGACGGGAGAGAGAGGGTGGGAGAGATAGAAAAATCAATGATGAGAGAGAATCATCATCATATAAACAAGTGATGAGAGAGACTCATTGATGTGCTGCCTCCTGCACGCCCCGCCGCTGGGGATTGAGCCGGCAACCCAGGCATGTGTCCTTGACCGGAATCAAACCTGGGACCCTTCAGCCCACAGGCCAATGCTCTATCCACTGAGCCAAGCCAGCCAGGGGCCAGGAGAGCCTTTTTGATTTGAAGCATGAAGACATCTTCATTAAGGAGATAGTAAAGCACCTTCATAAAGGTGCCCCGTGTGAGGGGAGGAAGGGAGACTTTGAGGTTCCATCCTCTTTCCTGCGAGACCCCTGCACATCAGAAGACCGAAAATTGGGTGATGAGGTTTTCAGGACCTGGCGAGGCAGGGAGAGAAAGGGGCAAAAGGGAAAACTTCTGAATCTATGTGTAACCTAAAGCCCCTTCCTCATTCTCTCCTGGACCGAACAAGTGTAGGATAAAAGGATGAAATCAGGTCTGTGCCTGA